CACAACACGCTTATACGGATGTTCCTGTCTGTTGACGGCAGAAACCTCTCGATCCATGTAGCAAAGAAGGACTCGTTTATCAGCACTCTGCAGCGTATTTGCACGAAGGAGCAGGCGAACTATGTTCTTGCTTCATTGCTGCTGCTGAGCGAAGGCGTGGCAGTCCCCATTAATGCAACGCAAACCAAAGTCACACTGTGGAAAACCATAAATGCGGAGAGCCAGTACAAGAAAGCAGTCAGAAAAGACAAAAAAACGTCTATTAGCGAGTATATGTTCTTTGAAGCAGACGCCAAACTGCATATGTCAGTTCCGCAGAAAGACTTTGCAAAGGTCGTGGACTTTTTCAAGAAGTACAACAAGCCAAAAGAACTTCCGGACACATCTGAGGACTTTATCACAGGCAAGTTTCTAAACACTCCGCAGTTTCTTATACAGGCGTACGTGTTTGAGTACATAGAAAGCCAGGAAGATGCAGTGCAGTTTCTGGAGTGTGTCCACACCCTCCTAGAGTCCTTGGGATGTGTAAAAGAACTTTCTGCAGGGAAGAAAGACGTATACAACCAGTGCTTCTGTGCAACTGAAGAGAAGGAGAAAGCAGAAGAGTATTTGCAGCCGTTTTCGGATGTTTATAGAATGCAGAAGAAGTTTGATTGGTTCCCGTTTTACACCAAAAGCATGCTGCCTCGCCATATGCCCGTGCGGTCGTACAACAAAGGTCAAGATGAGTTTACAAATGACATTTTCTCCAACTGTGTGGAAGCAGGCCTGTACGCGCTGTTCTGCTGTCTGGCATACGATGCAAAAGATAAGAAGTACGACGTATTACGGATGCTGGGCAACAGGCAAGACCGGCCTGAGACAAAGCCACTGAGAGACTTCTTCGGGTTGAAAGACGTTGCTCCAAACAACTATGCGACTGTAGAGATGTTTGAAGAGTGGAACAAGGTGATGTCTGGCCTAAATTGCGACCAAATAACCTACAAGAGCGAGCACAAGAACCAAATTCGGTCTTGTTTTCTGAACGTTCTGTACGTGATTGCCGAAGTAACAGGCCGACTGGACACTGAGCAGGAAAAAATAGACGGGTTTGTGCAAAGACTAAACAGCGAAGAAGACCCAGAGAAAAACATATACAGTGAAATGAAAAAATACTTTGCCAATCTTTTGAAAGAGCTCTCTGTAAATAAGAATATGGAGGTGTCTGTTTCGGAAATGGCCCAATGCGTTCAAATGGACGTGGGGGATAGCATATCTGCATCTATCTGCTTGACTTACAAGCACCAAAAAACTGGACTGACCCAGGGCTTGGTAGCATCCATTATGCCAGGGCATGTAAACCTAAGCTTGCTGGAAAACTCTATTAGACTGCCTCGACAGCAGATTCTGGAGGCTTTCAACGCAGAGAAATACAAAGACAAAGTGGGGTTTGCAAGCTGCTTGTTTTTTGAGTGCATTGAGAATTTGTTGCTCAAGCACACGAATGCGGGTAAGAGCGACTCAATAAGAAAGATCGGCTTTGTTGCAAAAAGCCTTGTATTGAGCGAATCCCTCGAGAAGGCAACCCAGCTGTTCATGGGCAACTGCATCTCAATGGCTTGGAAAAAAATCATCTTTATACACTCGTTCTTCATGCACACAAAAGGCAATGCGCTGGATATAGGCCCAACTCACCCTGGACTGCGCCTGGCCTTAAACATTCTAGGAAATGTTCTGTTAGAAGAGGAGCCAAGTGCAATGGATATGTTTTTAAGAGTCCCTGTGCAGCTGAACCAAATAAGCAGTCTGGCCCCAAGAATCACACTCGAAAATGGGATAATCAGCAAGCTCTTTAAAATGCCAGAAGTCATCGCGTTCTTACACCTGTACGCCCCATCGGGAAGCAAAAACGATCTCAACGCTATTATGACATACTTCCGAGAGTACAAAGAGAAAGCCAAAGAGCCTCTTTACAAATGCGATGTTCTGCTCTTGCACAAGTTCATAGCTAACATTGCTGCGACTGTATTTTCAGGTGACGTCATTGCGATAGCAAATGAGATTGACACAATTCTTTTAGATGTGAGTATGAAAGAAAAGAAAGAAGCAGAAAGAGCCAGAAATTTAGTAGCTATTTTCTGGTTCACTTATGCAATGCAATGTTCATGTATCTCAGACCTTATTAGCGAACTTTGCGATAGAATCAGCCCAGAAATAGACACATCGAAAGAGTATGTCAAATATGCAAGATGCATGTACTTGCCCCATGAAAGAAGGCCAACCGTAGAGCATCTGAGAGCCTACGCAAGAACACATAAAGAGAGAAAAGACATCCAAAAAATCTGGAAAATGCACAAACTGCTTAGCACCGTCTTGAAAGTTTACGGGGAGTCTAAGGTCTAAGCCAGCCCAAGAAGAAACTGCCCCTGACAGCATGCACGCCCAAGCACGCAATTAACGAATAAAAAGCACATTTTTCACCCACGGCTAACTATTCTGCATCTCTACAGGGCACTTCTCGCAAGCACAGCCTCATACTTGTCTTATAGGCCGATCTCCCGCAAAAATTGAAGCTTCTTCAGCCAGTTATGCTCGCCCTCAATGCTTCTGAGAACTTTCTCTTGCAAGGACGCTTGTTTGGGAGAGATATAAAGCCTCCTTGCAAGAGAAAGTTCTCAGAAAAGCATTGAGGGCGAGCACAGGACCAGCAAAGGCAGCGAGTGTTTGGGTTTTACCTGTCCGCACAAAACAAGCATTACATAGAGTCTTCCACGTTATACTTATATTTACTTTTATTTAGTGACAGAATCAGCCGTGTCTTGCAAGTAGTATACATCAATCTTTTCGTTTGGCGAAGAGAGTGCAAGCACACTTTCTTCTGGATTGTTTGAGGAGGGAAAGTCCAAGAATGTGCCAGGCGGGGTTTTAACTGCAAACAAAGAGACCGGCGACGCACTCTCCAGCTCTCTCAAGTCTGCGTATGTTACGTATGCCAAATTTACATTCTCTTCCTTGTTTGCAAGCGCCTGCAGTTCACTGTTCATTCTCGCAAGCTCGTCATCTATCGCTTTCTGCTCTTTGAGCAAGTCTCTGACCTCCTCTGTGTCCTTATTCACGGAAAGTGAGTGCCCGCCACAACATATGCATTTTTCCTTCCCTTTCTCCTTCACGTACTGTATGCTATTCTTCAGCTTCTTGCGGATATATCCCACCCCCTCCAGGACGTTTGTTATGTCGTAAAGACGCCTTTTGTGTATTTTTAGTACGGAGGCAGCGTGGTTTAAGTTTAGCTCGAAATGTGGGGACTCTTCCAGTAGCTGCAGGAATTTCTTAGCAAGAACAGCCAGTGAATTCCCCGATCTGCTTCCTATGGATTTGTTCTCGGAAGTGTCCAAGTCTGAGAAGAATGAAAACACGCTGCCTTCTTGTGGAATGTGCATGGGAAATAAAAATGGACATATTTTGTATTTTTATGGAATATTTGCTATGCGGAATACCCGCAGATGTCTACGGAATGGTCAAGTTTATACGCGCATCAGAAAGCGAGTACAGGATAGAAGAGGTGAAAGACGTAGTTTACGATATGCACAGATATAGTGTAATGGTGAGCCAAGTAGGGAGCGAGCGGGTTCTTTCTATAGTGTATCCTGCAGATAAAAGCAAGTCTCGGAAGAGCCTGGCCCGGAAAAGAAGCGTAAGCACGGTCCACGGGGATGCTGAGGGCCTTCTCGAGGAGTTTGGGTGCAAAAACAGGCGAGTGCGAGAGTACACCAGGAGCACGTATCTTTACAAAGGCGTGCGGATAATCGTCGCGTATAAAAGATCCTGCGAAGGGGCAGCTTCCAGTGAGGACTTGAGCGAAGAAACAGGAAAAAGAGAAGCAAAAAATGCGGGCTCTGAAAATATAAGTTTTCCCACCGCGGGTTCTACGCCCGAAAAGAGGGGCGAAGGGGAAAGTGAGAGTGCTTTGCCCTGCAGCAAGAAAAACAGTGGCCGAAGTTCGCTGTATGGAGCAAGCCCAGCGTATGCCACGAGCCAAGACACTCTTCGAAGCGACATAGACTTGGAGAGTGTTTTGGTCATAGCATGCACAGACCTTCCGGACGGGGAAAGTGTCCTTGAAGAGGTAAAGAACAAGCTGAAAATATGGGTTGATTTAGTTGTACCGTCAGAGAGCATGTGCGAGTATATGGTGTAAAATTAGTGCTCTATGCACGAATGGTGTGTTTCGTGGTCGCTGAATAAATGGGAGAGGTTCTTTCTTTTGTAGTAGTCGTCGGAGAGGGCTATGGACAGCTGGCCCTGCTCTTCAGAAGGGGGCTCGTTCAGAGAGACATGTTTAAGCGTTCTTTTGGAAAGGGAAATATGCCCAGGCAAATTCAAAAGCGTACATATAAAAGATATATTTGGAGGGTTTTGATATGCGCTTTTGGAGATATCTGACTGCACGTCCTGTGGGAGCAGCATAAAGACATCTCTCACGTAGTTGTCATACGACGCAATTTCTGGCCTCTCGTGCAGGAGGCCATGCAGCGAGAATGCGGTGCTTTCTGAGTGTGCATTTCTATACGCAAGAGAGAAGAAAGCTGCTTCTTTTGAGAGGAAAGAGTCTTCTGAGCCTATAAGGCGGAGGTACTTTATGGAGAGAGTGTGCAGAAGGGCGGAGAAGTGCTGTTTCTGCCCCAAAAGTGCCTTGGACAGGCGGACTGCGTTCACTGAGAAGGAATTCTCCAAATGGGCAGCCAAAAGTGTCCGGACGCTTTCAAACTCTACGAGCCTGCAGAAGATCTTCAGCGCATTAAACGGCAGAAGAGTCTCTGTTTTGAGAAGAGCCTGCGTGAATGGAGCCCAATCAGCACCTGCGGGCATTTCTGTGGAAAGAACGTGCATGCAGAAAAGCTCCAGAGAGTCGCCAATTTCAAGCACGGGGAGAATTCGATCTGGGAGTATAGAAGCCCCAACTGAGTGAAGCACTTTTATGGCGCACTCTATTATGCTGCTGCTTCTGCTCGGAGAGAGCAGAGAGAACAAAGTGTCGATGGCAGTGCTTCTATCCGTTTGCACGCTTTCTATCTCTTCCAGGACTCTTCTAAAATACTCTTCGTACTCGAAATGCTCTCCCTTGTAGTTTCGTATGCTCTCTAAATTTTGGATGTTCATTTTGTTTTTCATGCGGAGACGGATTTATGCACATTCTTCCGGAGTGCGAAAAGTGAGTTTGGCAACTGGAACGGAAAAACCATGTGCATAGAGGAAATGCCGGATGGGATTGTTCCGTGAAATTCCGGCAGATGGCGCCCCAGAAAAGACACTTTTCAGGGCAGAAACAATATTGCATCTGCCAAAGAGTCTCTGTGCGCGGGACTAGGCGCGTGTAGAGCGAGCACGTGTCTGATGTGAGCGCAGGAAGCGCAACGGGCGTGCGTGCAGGCGGGCTGTCCGATTTTAGTCGAAGTTCTTCTTTACAATGTAATTCAGCATTTTTTCTGTCTCGTCCTCCACTTTTTTAAGGTATTTGGCGTCTATAAAAAGAGTAGTATCATCTATTTCCTGTATGATAAAGTTGTGCTCTCTGTTCAGGCGCATCACAATTTGCTTCACAGAAGGATCGCACTCTATGAGCACTCCCTTTATAGCTTTGACCATTTTTTATTTTAAAAAATGCTTGAATGGAAGAAGTGTCTTAACGAGGGAAATCCAGTACGCGTTATTCTAAAAAAAGAAGAAAGTGACTTTATAGTTCGGGAGAGGGCGGAAGCAGGGCTGCTGAGCGCGTACGACACTCTCCAAATGCCAAACCTGATTTTGGATGGGCTTCCAGGAATCCGTGCGAAGTTGCTGCAGCACGTTGACGCCCTGGAGGAGGCAAGCGCCTATGCTCTTTACAGAGTCACTGGAATTCGCAGCAAAGAAGAGCGGAGAAAGATCCACCAAATGTACTCTATGCACCCATTTATATACACGGTATCTGTTAAAAACGACGACATTGAAGGATCAGAGGACTCTGATGTTTTGATTGTCTTTGACACCCACCATAAAAACCACATTTACGCTGCAACCGTCACCAAAAGGGGGAAAAACACCAACGACATTATAGACATAGTCTCCAGCATGCTGAAAATCAAGCCGCATAAAGTGAGCTTTTCCGGGAACAAGGACAAAAAAGCCATAACCACGCAGAGAATCAGCATAGAAGGGTGCTGCTACATTGACATCCGAAAGGCGGCCCAGAACCTGAAGTCTCGGGACCCAGAATTCAAGCTCTCGAAAGTTCTCTACTCGCAAGAGTCCATGGGAATCAGCGACGTGCTGCGGAATGGCGCGCGGCAGGTCCTGGGCTCTGCCTTGCACAAGATAGACGTCCCAATCGTGCTTGCGTCAGAGATTATTCCGGAGCTGGACCGAGTTGCGTCTGAAATCGAAGCTGCAAAGGCCCCCGAGCAAGCAGACGAAGAGTACATTCGCGTGGTCACGGGCTTTGAGCAGTCCGTGGTTCTGGACCAGATTGAAAGGATCGACTCTTCCTTGGGGCTGGGCCAGCTTTCAGGAAATCGGTTTTATCTGAACCTGGAGGTCACAGAAGGCCTGGAGTTTGCCTCGGAAAGGGCCACAAAAATCGCGCATAACGGATTTCCAAACTACTACGGGAGCCAGCGGTTTGGGGTTGGCATGGACAATCCTGCAATAGGCGAAGCCCTTACGCGGAGAGACAACGAAAGTGCTGTTTCCCGAATACTTGGGAGTCTGAAGACGCTGGAGCACTCGCAGAATGCGCTGAAGGCGCACGAGCTCATCCAGGAGAAAAAGTACAAGGAGGCAGAAATGGCTCTCCCCAGGATGTTCAGGAACGAGAGAAAAATTCTCAATGGGCTCAGTCGGGGAATGTCGCCTGCGCAGGCGTTTAAGGGCGTAGACAGGCCGAGCAGGCTTATCTACGTGCACAGCTACCAGAGCATGATATTTAACGACGACCTGCAGAGAAGACTTATCAACGGGCTGAAAGAGAAAGAGTATGCAACAGACCGGAACATAAGCTCGGTCACTTCGAAGAAGGAAATAGAAAGCGAAACGTACATCACAGAGGCAGCACGCTGGGAGAATCTGATGATTCCTTTGTGGCCGTATCCGGAGGCGCAGGACGAGGGGAAAGAGGCAGGCTCGCACGGAGGCATTTTGAAGGGAGGACTCAGGAAAGCCGTTATTAAGCCTGAAAACATGGCGCACAAGGTCTCTGGGTCTCTCCTGCAGCTGTCTTTCACGCTCCCTCCAGGCGTATACGCTACAACGCTAGTGAAAGAGCTTTCCCAGAACGAAGTAAGCGTTGTAACCTGGTAGCAAGCGCCTGCAAGCGCATAGAAGCAAAAGCACTTTCGCACGCTCAGAAAAGCGCACGGGAAAAAAATAAAAGTGTAGTGCCATAAAAACATTCCGTACAGAAAACATTTTCACCAAAACAAGCTGCAGCGCAGGAAAAGAGATCTAAAGTGTCATTTGAATTTATAAATATCCATGGGCAGCAAACGCCTGCGCGCTGTTTTCTCTAGAATATATCAGCATCTGAAAAGTCTTCTACCTCCGACAAGTTATCGTTTACCTCCATTTTGTATCTAAGTATTCCCCCTATTCCGCCGAATGCGGATATAAACTGTGTTCCCTCTTGGCTCTTGTCAGACACAAATACCACGGTGCAATTGACTTTTCTGTAGTTCTCGGCCAGCCAGTCAGTGAGCAGCTCTCCGTCGCCGTCCATTGCGTATGTGACTTCGTCCTCCTTTTCTATCCTGCGGATGCCCGAGCCTTCGTCAATGATCAGCATATCCATGCAGCCGGACTCCAGGCAAGACATTGTTTCCTCGGCCCCAAAGCAGACTTTCCCGGAGCCAGACACGACTTCGTCAAAGAACATTTTTACCGTCTTCTTTTCGCTTACAAGCTTGAGGTTTTGCAAGACCTCCTCGGCCTGCTCTATTGCTTGGTTTAGGCCGTTTTCTCCCCCGTACGCCACGTCTATGATCTTAGCCACCTTCGCCTTCAGCCTTTGGTCGAAGAAGTCTGCCTGGCTCAGGTCCGTCTTAAAGTCGGCACATCCTGCGAGGATTAGCCCGTGGATGTTCGGCTTGTTGTTGGTGATAAAGACCTGCGTGGCAATTTCGCTGACCTTCTTTAGGTAGTTGTGCCTCTTTTCCAGCCTCAGCCTGGCAAAACGCACTGAAGACTGCCCTCCTCGGCCGTGCTTCTTGGGAAGATCCACGCTTATGTTCTGCTTTATCTCCTTGGAGTTACCCGACAGAACTGCAAAGAGTGCGCCGTGCCCATCCATAACGATAAACCCGAACTTGTAGTCGTCTTCCAGCGAGTTTATCAGGTCCTCCACGTGGAACTTGCTGTTGCACAGGTACAGCGACGTGTTGATGGGCTTCATGGGCTCGATGTCAAAGCAGACTTTTTTCTCCTTCCCGGAGTCTTCCATAATAGTTCCCGTGTATAGGGCGAGGCCGTTCTCTGGCACTCGCGTGATCAGCTTGAGTCTTTGCTGCGCAGATGTGATGGCTCCCAGCACGCTGAGCCGGTTCACTCTGCTCTTTATGTTTGAGGCAGTTCCGTACTCTTCAACGAGCAGCTTGTTGGCTCTTGAAATCTGGTCCTTTGGCGGGAGTATCAAAGAGATCATCGACGTTCCATTGCCCCGGGCGTTCTGGAGGTACTTGAGAAGCTTCTTCATTTTCCACCTCTCAACTTCCAGTTGCTCAACTGTTTGGTCTTTTTCCATGCGCACAAAAAAACATGGAATTAAAATATGAAAATGCGCCCAGGAGGAAAAGAGCCTCGCCGGATCGGGGAATGTGCAAAAAATAAGCACCCCCGAGAGTTGCACGGTCGATCGCACATGGAAAGTTTGCAGACATGTGCGAATCTGGGGCAGTCCCACAAAAGAGTGTGCATCAAGGAAATCCTGCTCGCACGCAAAACGGATCGCCAGAGAACTGTGGGACTGCAGTTATCACACCAGAAAAATCACCAAAAACGGACAATACGCTGTTTCTTCAGCACAAAAAGTTCGCACACATAGTTAAGTCCGAGCATGCGCTTCGCAGAGGCTCCCAGCAGCATCCCACCCCACAACAAAAGAAGAGAGAGTATGCTTTATATTTATAAATACTTTTCTGTTAAAATATTTTATGAGCGTAGTAGAGAAGATAAAGGAAATAGAAAATGAGATGGCAAGAACTCAGAAAAACAAAGCGACTGCAAACCACTTGGGAATTCTCAAGGCCAAGCTGGCCAAGCTAAGAAGAGAGCTCCTGACCCCGAAGAGCGGAGGATCTTCCGCTGGAGACGGGTTTGACGTGGCAAAAACAGGTGTCGCCAGAATAGGCTTTGTGGGCTTCCCTTCCGTGGGGAAAAGCACGATCATGACCAAGCTGACGGGAACGTACAGCGCAGTCGCAGAGTATGAGTTTACCACGCTCACAACAGTGCCAGGAGTGCTCCACTACAACGGTGCTAAGGTCCAGATACTGGACTTACCGGGGATTTTGGAGGGGGCCAAGGATGGACGAGGTCGTGGTAAGCAGGTGATTGCCGTTGCCAGGACATGCTCGCTTATATACATAGTTCTGGACATCAGCAAACCCATAACCCAGAAAAGAAAAATAGAGCTGGAGCTGGAGGGCTTTGGAATCAGGCTCAACAAGTCGCCCCCAGACATCACCATAACCAAGAAGGACAGAGGCGGTGTAAATATACGCACATCGTGCAGGCTCACGCACTTAAACGACGAGTGCATCCGCATGATATTCAAAGAGTACCGGGTATTGAACGTGGACGTAATGTTTAGGTGCGATGCCACAGCGGACGATCTGATAGACGTGATAGAGGGAAACAGAGTCTATGTGCCTGCGCTGTACATTCTCAACAAGATAGATCGAGTCTCTTACGAAGAGCTGGAGCTGCTGAGCCAGCTGAAAGACTCCGTTCCCATTTGCGCAGATAAGGGCTGGAATATGGACGAGGTCCTGGAGGCGTCCTGGGCGAAGCTGCAGCTTATCAGAGTCTTTGCCAAGCCGAGGGGACAGCTTCCAGACTACACTACGCCGGTCGTGCTTAGGTCTGGGAAGTGCACGGTGAAGGACTTCTGTAACTCTATCCACAGGGGGATTCTGGCGGAGTTCAAGAATGCGATTGTGTGGGGGAAAAGCGTGAAGCACGTGCCGCAAAGAGTAGGAAAAGAGCACACCTTAGTCGATGAAGACGTCGTGCAGGTGGTCAAGAGAAGGTAAAATAAAGAGAAGACTGCAGTATAGCACGTTTGGGCATGGGCGTAAAGAGTGTGCAGGTACTTTTTAGAAAGCGTATCTTTCTATTTTTGCATTTTGTTTTAGATATGCTTTTTTGCATTTTTAGGGGTGTCAAGGGTCAGTATACATTTTTTTATTCGAAGGCCAGGCGGTATTATACATTTTTAGGCTAGAACCACTTTTTGGGTGGGCGTGTGCCAGCGCATAAAAATCACTTCTGAAAAATTCAGCAGAGGCCACGAACACACGAAAACCCTGCTAGAACTGCCCCCGGAAAAAGTCCCTGGAAAATAGCGAAAAGACACGAAATTCCAGAAAGCAGCCAAAAGCACGCCCGCATCGTATATGCACGCATTAATCCTAAGTAAGCTGGATAAGCTCATTTTATCGCACTATTACTGCATTTCAGCGCCCAGCACAGCTTCTCTATTCTTGCACCATGCCCACTGCACTACTTAGCCATCATTATAGTGACCTTTCCACGTAATAGGTCCTACTCAACAGGATATATTCGGGTTATTCGGGGCTAGTGCGCCTAAATATCCAAAACACGACAGTATGCTGTTTCTGCGCATTTAAGGTGTACCCGCGCAGCCTTGCATAATGCAGCGGAGATTGAGCCCTGCAGTTCTCTTTACTCCACACTTTCATTGGCCTATTCCCAAACTGCTTATTTATTCTAAAACTTTTATTTAGCTTGCAATGACGGGAAAACCACTTGCAGCCCTCACAGGGAGAAAGTATGCAGTCGACGGATGGGACATGGGGAGAATGCTCAAATTCATAGAGCAGGAGTCCGAGCAGAAGGCACACGAGATAGACGTGCAGTCGAATGAGGACTACGGCGTGAAAGTGGCTGAAATGGCCGTGGAAAGCATGAAGAGAATAAACAAGCAGAAGGAGGAGGAGATAGAGAAAATCAGATCCGAAAGAGTCATAGCCGAGGGAATTCTCAGGTCTAAGGCCGGCATAGCAATATCCAAGCAGAAGGAGCAGACCATGAACAGGATACTCAACAGCGCAATGGAAAAGTGCAGGAGTATTCCGCTCAGAAAGTCCCTGGCAGAAGATGCCATACGAAGATACCGGCACGTGTGCCCGAACGAGAAAATGTTTGTCTATGTGAAGCAGTCGGATGCACACCTGCTTAAGAGCATACTTAAAGAGGGCGAATATGCCGTGGAGACGATGGGAGACAGCCTTCTAGGGGGAATCGTCATTCGCAACGAAGACAGGACTGTGCTTATAAACAACAGCTACCTAGAAAGAATCCGGTGCATCGAGAGGGAGGCACACCCGATAGTGCAGAGGCTAGTGTTTAGTAAATAAAGATATAAGCTGAGGATTCTGCAGTGCTCTCGCGAGATTACTCTTTGAAAAGCCAGAATAACCCGAATACTCCATAGATAGGAGGTATTGATCTATATGGAAATATACTCTCGTGCTTAGAAATAGCCTGTAAGTTCCTGCTGTTTCTGCTGCACGCAGGGAATGGGCTGCTAAATAGTTCGGAGAAGTACGTGCTGAATTTATTTCAGTAAAAGTCTCGGCATAAAAGCTGTTGCTATGCTAGAGAGTGTAAGCATGGAGACAATCCCAATGAAAAGGCCAAGCAAGAATATGGCAAGCAGCAGGGATGCATAGCCCAGTCTTTTGCAGAGTGTACGCTCTACTGCACTCGCAGGAAATAGTTCTACTGCAGTGCTGGAGTTGGAATTGCTCGAATTTTTATGCTGCTTACTATTGATACCAGATGACATTTTGTGGATTTTATGCGTGCATATATACTGCAGAAACAGTGATATCATGAAATTAGTGCAGAAAAGTGGCAAATTATGCGTTTGAAGCGTGCTTGCATTTTAGCCTGAATTATTTCTATAGCCTCGCAGGGGAAGAGAGTATGCCTGCAAAGGAAAAAGAGCAAACAGAAAGCTCTGCAGGAAGTTCTTCTTTTAAGCATTCTCTTAAGTACATTCTATGCGTATCACTCGCTCTGGGAAGAATCGCCCCAGAAGGAAGCCCATCTCAAAGCCAGTGCCCGCATAAAGAATTCGTTCTTCGCGTGTGCTTGGGGTTTGTATGGAGTTTTCCTCTACTTGCACACTGCCTCTCTTTATCCGAATTCACTCCGATCAACTCTCCAAGCAAAAGCACTTCCCGAATGCGCATCACACGATGAAATGCGAAAATATGCACTGAGTGCGCTGAACAGAGAATGCCCCCTAATCGCGATTTATTAGATTGTTTCCGAGTTCAGACAAGCTCAGACTGCCTGAACCTCATTTAAAAACTCATCGATATCGACTATCCCCTCAAGCCCCGGCATATTATACGTCGGCTCGTTAAAACTCGGCATTTTACCCCCCAGCAGATTATTCACCGTCTCGTTAATCCTCGACATATTAATCGTTGGTATGCTAATCTTCGGCATGCTAATCTTCGGCATGTTAATCTTCGTTATATTGTTAGCCTTTGGTATATTAGCCTTTGGTATATTAGCCTTTGGTATTTTAACCTTCGGTATATTAGCCTTCGGTATATTAGCCTTTGGTATGTTAATATTCGACATGTTAATGTTCGGTATATTAGCCTTTGTTATGTTAACCTTCGGTATATTAGCCTTTGGTATGCTAATGTTCGACATATTAGCCTTTGTTATGTTAATGTTCGACATATTGTTAGCCTTTGGTATGCTAATGTTCGACATATTAGCCTTTGTTATGTTAATGTTCGACATATTGTTAGCCTTTGGTATGTTAATGTTCGACATATTAGCCTTTGGTATGTTAATATTCGGTATATCGTTAGCCTTTGGTATATAGTCGGCCTTTGGTAGGTTAATATTCGGTATATTGTTAGCCTTTGGTATATAGTCGGCCTTTGGCATGGTACTATTCGGCATGGTACTATTCGGCATGGTAATATTCGGTGGGTTATACCCCGAACCGCCAGCCTCCGTCATATTACTCGCTGTCTCGTTAACTGCCTGCTGAAGAGGCGTCGACTCGCCAGTTGCTAGCATATAATACGCTGCTGCTACAAGTAAGCATATTGCTGCGATGGTAAACATAATAATAGGAATTCTTATACACAGGCTGCATCTAGGACATTTAATCGATGGAAGCCGCAGTTTTCTTTTCCGGGATTTTTTTTCAGGCTTATCCTGCTCTACTTTCACCACGAACTTGACCGTTGGGTTTTCATCTTGTAAGTTCTCTCCAGTTGCCGATAGCATACTGTGCACTTACGAGGAGTATATATACTATTGCTGTGATGCGATCACTATTTTGCTGACTTTGGAAAATGATCGTTTTCATCCGGGAATTCTCCACTTTCTGCGAGCACGGAAAGAAGACTTTTTCGGAGAGTCTGCAGAAACCCGCTGGAAGCCCAGAAAGTATCACACACTCGCAGCTTTATATACATGCCTTCTCTTAAACCAGATTTATGCCAGCCTTTTTCTGGGCTCCTGCAATAGAATCCCCGTCTGTTCCTGCTGCAGTGAAACTCCCAGAGAAGAGTTTACGCACGGACAGTATTCCCACGCACGGAATACTCCACATCCTGCACGCTCTCCATCCGTACTCCCCCACCCAGAGTGCACTCTCCGTGCGTAAACTCTTCTTTTCTGTGGGCTGCACTGATGAAATACTTCCTCTGTGCATGCGGAGATGTATCCACGCGCGAGAGAAGAAGGACAAAATAAACGGGAATACCACGCGAATGCATCGATATTAAGCAAGGAAACTAAACTACCCGAATAACTCAGATATACAGTGTAAATCCATCACTCACTTCCGAGCAGGTGCAACCCAGAAGCCCAAGAAAACAGAGAATATCCCATATACTGCACATATACGTGCGCACTCACTCGAATTCTCCGAGGATTTTTCCCTTCCCTCCACAGATCGATTACTCCGAGGGAACAACCAAAAAATAACCCGAATACTCCTCAGGCACAGCACATAAGCACGGCCTTTTTAGCTTTAATTTTTTCGGGAATGAAAATTCTTCCATAAAAATCACTTCTCTCTTCTCTATATGCTAAACACGTATGCATTTATTTTTGTTTTTCCGGGTATTCACTATTTCTTGTATAAAGCTAACTTTGCCAAATACTGATGTCCGAATATCAAGCCAACCAGTGAAACAACACAGATCAAAGCTAGAATATACACTATTTTTCTGCTCTGAACGGGGGGTTGACAGTCCTCACTGTAGTATTCGGGCTCTTCCTTGAATGCGAATGCGGTTTCTGGTTGTCTGTTTCTTATAAATGCTTCTCTTGGTGCTGGTGCCATGGTTTCTCTCCACTGTTCTCTTTATATACTTTCTTCCAGCAGCAATTATTCCGGGATGGGCAAAACCATCAAAAACAAACAGCTGCTTTAATTTGCACGCACAGAGTCTAAGAGAAAGAGAGAAAAACAAACTCGGACAAATATGCACAAATTAAGCAATAAAATTCCAAGTAGAGAATACGCCAGAAAGTTCTATTCGGGAAGTGCTAGTGAAACTGCCGCTATTTCTATGTTTGCATAAACAGAGTATTTAATCTACTAGAAGTAAAGCAGAAATATATTTATCCGTTATGCGAATTAAGAACAACAAATTGAAAAACTATGCTTTTTAGAGTGTTTTTGAATCTTATTGATTTTATCTTCTCTCTGGATCTATGCCTTTTCCTAGATACATTCTCCGAATATCTCACTTCAGACACATCATCACGAGAACTAAAGAGCGTATCAGCTCGCCTTGTGCCTCCTTAAGCAACTATGCTTTCATCATACAGCCCAGCATAGACAAAACATCCTAGGAAAAATCACTATTTCGACGGGAAGCACTGTGGAAATCTCCCCGTGAAAAATCCTGCTAAATCCCCTTCCTGTACTTCTCCCTATAATGTATAATGCAGTGAAGTGTGTGCCTGCGGGCTTTAATTTAAATGCGAGTGCAAATAATTTTTTATGAAGAAGACGCTCTTGGTTATTGACAATGGCTCCTGGGAGTGCAGAGCAGGAATTTCCAGCGATTCCCCGACCGTGCGATTCCGCAACCAAATCCACAGAGTGAAGGGCAAAGACGGAAAAACAGCGTATTCTTTGCTCCCGAACAAGAAGCCAGGCTGCACTTCCACGGTGAAAAGCATGTTTGACGGCTCTGTGATCTACAACTACGAAGTTTTTGAGGGGACGCTGAAGGAAATTCTCCGGGAGACTCGGGGGAAATCGAAGGAAAAAGTCACTGATGTCGTGATAACAGAGTGCTTCCTGAACCCGCAGATGTTCCAGGATATGGCGATACGCAGCATATTCAGCACAATCCCCTGTGAGACCGTTCGAATCGGCTATGACTTCATATTCGCATACGAGCACAATATGAAGCACAATAAAGAGATGGTTTTGGAGGCACTCCCAGAGAAGGGCTTCTGCGACGTGATAATAAGCATGGGATACTTGGGGGTGTACGTCGTCCCTGTGGATCCCACGGAGAAGAAGATCCTGTACGAAGAGAGCACTTTCCTGCAAATAGGCGGTCTTGCAGCCCAGCACATCTTCTACAGGAGCATTTCGAATAAGTACTGCGGGACAGGGATAAAAGTCGTGCGGGAGGAGGTGGAGGAGTACTTCTCGGGGATCCGCGTCTCGTGCGATTACTCCGAGGAGGTGGAGAAAGTGGTGAATGACGGCCTGGGGAACGTGAAAGTCTCTTCTCGCGCGCAGAAGCCAAAGGAGAAGAAAGTCCCCGACAAAAGAAGGAGTCACTTCATGGAAATTGCGAAGAGAAGGCAAAGTGTGACCCCGCAGGAAGCTACGGAGGATCTCCCGGAAAGCACGCCCGGAGACCCAGAGAGTGCAGGCGATCTTCCCCGAGAGGAGAAGGAGAAGGACGCGCAGGAGGAGGAAGAGGCACTTCTGAGGCGCCTGAAGAGGGAGAAACTTATAAAGGGAGCAACTGATCATAGGAACAAGCAGAAGATCATGAAGGCTCTGGAGAGGCTGAGCATGCACATATCCGCCCTGGAGAGTGAGCACCTTCTGATCTGCAATCCGGAGGAGTACATGCGGGAGAGGAGGGAGAGACTGCAGGAGCTCGAGGCCCGGATAAAGAGAAGGACTTTCGTGCGGAATGAGCTGAAGAATCGGAAAAGTCCGCACTCGCTCTCCCTCCTGAAGAAGTCCCTGGAACAGCCGGACAGTTCCTCAGATAATCCGCACCTGCAGGAGATAAGGGATGCAGCAGAAGATGATACGCCGATTCTTGAGGAGATAGATGCGATAGAGGGATTCCTGCGGGGGAATGACTCCTCGTACACGGAGAGGGAGGAGAATCCGCTCGATAAAATACGGCACGGGTACGGAGAGAAGGGGGGAGTCAACATAAACGTGGAATTTATTCGGACGCCGGAGAGCCTTTTCAGCCCGTCCATCGTCGGAGTGGAACAGCCCGGACTGAGGGAGAGCCTTTTCGCCGTATTCCAGCGGGGAAGTGTCCGGAACATCTTCATCACCGGGGGATTCAGCCAAATTGCAGGCCTGAAGGAGAGAATTGAGAAGGAAGTGCTCTCCCTGCGGTACCTGCCAAATAGTCCGAGGGTTATCACTGCGATGGACCCAGTGAATGATGCGTACGCAGGAGGATTCCTGGAGTCAGAGTTCTTCCCCAAGCACACCAGAGGAGGAGCAGAATAAGAGAGTGAGTAAATAAATTGTCAGTTAGTGAGTGAGTGAGTGAGTGAGTAAGTAAGTGAGTGAGTAAGTTAGTAAGTAAGTAAGTTAGTGAGTGAGTGAGTTAGTAAGTAAGTAAGTTAGTAAGTAAGTTAGTGTGATAGTTAGTAAGTAAACAAGTAAGTGTGATAGTGAGTTAGTGATTGAATATATGAATGCATGTTAGTATGTTGTTAGTAAGTAAGTTAGTTAGTGATGTGCGAATATTTCAAGTAAATGATTTTTGTAAGTTGTAAGTTAGTGAATGGATAAGCTACCGAGTAAACAAATTGTCAGTTAGTAAACAAACAAATAAATGAGTAAATAAGTTAGTGATTAAATATATGCTGTTAGTAAGTAAACAAGTAAATAAATAAATATTGTTAGTTAGTAAGTAAATTAGTAAATATATGTTGTTAGTTAGTAAAAAAACAAGTAAATGAGTAAATATTGTTAGTAAGTAAACAAGTTAGTAAATATATGCTGTTAGTAAACAAGTAAATGAATATATAATGAGTGAATAAACAATTAAATATATGCTGTTAGTAAACAAGTAAATGAATATATAATGAGTGAATAAACAATTAAATATATGCTGTTAGTAAGTTAGTAAACAAGTGACTGAATAAATAATAACCCGAAGCTTATCTTATCTGCAGAAATGCTTTATTACTAGACGGGATTTCCCCAGGCGTACTCTGAAGTGGCCGTACTATCCTATACTGTGCAACAAGATGATATCTTCTACAGAGGACAAGTCCCCCTCAGAGCTTTATTGCATAGACTTTCTCGCATATTCGCTTGACTTTATCGAGTAGATCTCTACGGGAGGGATCCTCCTGGCAGGTGGAGGAATCTCCTGACCCTGCAGAGTCTAAGTCGCAGAAAAATCCCCCCGGCGGAGAAATGCGGATATATTCCAGCGTCTTCTTCCACGCTAAAAACAAGGAAAAAACTACAATACTCCTCTCCTGCAGGGAGAAGTAAATGCCCTCCCCCGTCGGGATTACAATCTCAAAGATCAGATCCCGCAGAGGATTCTCCCACTCCATATACGCCCCCCGAAGATCAAGGACTTCCTCCACCCCGGACTTTTCATGTGCCCACACTCGAAGGAATTTCCTGTTGAGTCTTTCACTCTCACCGTACACATTCATCCAAACATTCTCCCCCAAAAGAGAGAGAGCGTGCACCCTCGAGATAAACTCCACCGTCTCCTGAAAGTTCATCCGAAGACTTTCCTGTGCACTTCCCCCGAAATCCACAGGATATCTCCCCTCCATAACGCATCCCGCATAAATACTCGAAGGATTCAACCTCTCAGTTTCCGGGGCGTATGCACTCCAGTCGACCGTATATCGGTACTTCTTCCGAGTAAGTGCAGGAAAGAAGAAGTTATCACGTAAGGGCGGATATCCCCTGCACTTCTCGCACGTTTTATGCGATAGTTTTTTCCTGTGAAACCACATTCTCCAATAGTGAATCATTCCCCCCACAGACTCATTGTGCAGGCAGGAGTCATACGGATCATCGTGAGCGCACATTTTCAGCGGAGAGTGACTGAAGGGAAGCAATTCCTGCATCCGGAAGAGTCCCCTGTTCTGGAGGAGTACTCCCAGAAGGCCCACATCCACTCTCTCGCTCACTCTCCTGCTCACCCGAAGAAAGTCTCCCTTCATGGAGAGATCAGTCGCACTGCATACGATCCACTCTAACTCTTCGTGCAGGATCTTAGCAGCACACTCCAGGAGAATTACGTCTTTTCCCCCGCATCTCACGGGGAGAAAAAGCACGTCCTTCCTGCAAACTTCCCTATCTTCTCTCTCCACGTGCTCCAAATACGCCCCGAAGGAGGACCTGCACTCCCACTCCAGGACTTCACTGAAGACGAGAAGAGAGCACGTGTACATCGATCTCTCCTCCTTCTCCACGTACTCCCGTGAGAGGGAGGGAGTGAAGCTGGAGAGGTGCCTTGTCGGGGGAAAGTTTAGAGTCATCCCGTCTTCCTCGTACTCTCCCGCGTGCAGGACTCCCTGGATCGGGATCTTCGCACAGACCCACCTACTCAGACACTTTCCGCAGAGGATGATCTCCAAAACGCCCTTTTCCACGCGAGTTTTCATGCAGGAGTCATCGCACGGTATTTCCCTGAAGAAAATCCGCATGGAAAAAGTCTCTGCTACTCCCTCGCCAATTCCGAATATTTTCTCCCTCTGTTTATCAACCTCCCGAGAGTACTCTAAATACTCGCTGTATATACTATCCCCTGCATCCTCATCACTCCTGGAGATGCTGTCGCTCTCGTGGTCACTGTAATATGCATTCGGATTTGGCTCTATGCTTTCTCTTGTTTTCTCTACGTGGACTTCAAATCCCACGCACATTTTGTAGTATTTCCTGCCCGTCTTCCTGCAGATCTGCTTTTTATCCGGGGAAAACTCCTCGGAGCTATGAGAGTCTCCCCCCATTCCCACGCTGTACATCACCATATTCTGCAGCTCCTCCCGGGAAGTGCTTATAAACGTGCTGAACGTGTACTCCTCGACTGCACTGCTCGCATGATCTGCACTTCCGCTCTCCACGGACCCTCTGAGAAGGACGAGATTCTTGATCCTTGCAATAACTGCTACGGGATTTATGCTCAGAAAGTGACAGGAAGCGACAACTCTTGCATTGCAGACGGACTTTCCGAGGGGGTATACGGCCGTGTTTTTTTCGTTTGATCGCCTGTCGATCGAGTATATTTCATCCCCCAGGGCAAACTCAAAAGAAAGACCTTCCTCCAGGAAAATTATCGGGACAAAGTCCACGCCCAGAGTAAACCCGCAGGAGTAATCGATGCTTTCATGGTCTCGACTGTGCTCCTTCTTCACGGGATCACTGCATTTGCGACTTATCGCCTTTTTCGTGCGATTTATTCCTCCGGCTGCATCTACAGAGAAAATCCACGAGCATCCCACGCCCCCAGTCACGGATCCCCCGAGTTTTTCTGTTTTCGTGCTCTCCACGTCTTCATACGCTGTGAACGGGGCGAACTCACTCGAAGTCTCCTCGTCCACGGTCTTTCCCACAGTCAATCCCCCGTGCCAGGTTCCTGCTCTGATTCTTCCCCCGAGGACCCACTCCTTCGACGTATTTTCCTCCTTTTTTCCTGTTGCCTCGTCTGTGATTGTGAGACTTTTCTTTTTTGTGAAGGCTTTTACTCTCGCAGAGTTTATTCCTGCGAGGAAGAAGTTCGCACTTGCTTCTATCTCCTGATCGACGGTTTTATCGTGTCTGATCGTTCCAGATTTCACATCCCGTATTTCCTCCTCGCTCTGGAGGGAGTGCCCGTAGAGGGCCATCTTGTATCCCTGGCACCCGAATCTTGCACTCACGTAGATATTTGTCTTCTCCCTGTACCCGGTCTTATCGTATTTCTCCCTTTCAATTCGCTTTTCCTTGCGCTGTGTCTTTGTCCAGGGAGTTCCCCGCACGAGGGAATTTTTCGACGTGTTTTTGCAGGCGCGAACTCTCCCCGAGAAAACGTCCTTGTAGAGGGAGAGAATGTGGGCTTGCATGCAGGATTTAGAGGGGGCTCTGCTTGGGTGCTCAGAGTCCGTCTTTTTCTCGAGGGATCTCAGAAGGGCCTTTATTTCGTGCTTCATTACGTCCGTGAGGATGTACGCGTGGGACTTCTCCGTTGCTTCCAGCTCCTTCATTGCGAGTCTGTTCGAGGAGAGGGAGACTCTCTCGGAGGGATCTCTTCCCAGGCCGATGTTCACTCCGTCGAGGCACTCCTTTCGCACTCTCGGGAGCAGGCGACACGCGAACTTTCTCTTTGCACTTCTGCAGGGGCCTTTGAAGAGGCGGAGGAGGGCACTGAAAAGGGAGACTTTTACCTCCCTCTCGGAAAGAGGCTTTTTCTCCTCCGGAAATCCTTTGGGGAACTCCACGACGAGGTACTTTCTGAGGATGAAGTTGAAAATTCTGAGGGCTAGGAGAGTGTATACTCTCTGGGTATCTATCTGTGTTGGGCCAAAGTCTACGCTGGTGCTTGTGAAGGGAAAACTCACTCTGATGTCCGGAGTACTTTGTGTGCTCATGGAGTCTCTTCCACGGGCGTATTTATATGCGGGTTCGAGGCGGGGAAGCTTCCAGAAGGAGGAAAAGATCACTGTGAT